TCTTTTATATTTTGATGTAGAACATATTTCTAACATAGATAAAGGGAGAGAGAATTGGAATAATTGAAATCACTCAAACCAAAAACTCATCACTGACCTATCTCCATAACCCTTCAAAAGCTCAAATCAAGTTGTTAATATCAGTTAGTCTTCACACTTATATACCGAATTCACTCACAATTCTTCATTGAAGTGAGATTTGGGGTATTGAAATAATATACGATATGGAAGGATTGATGGATATGTAAGGAGTAATTTAAAAAAAAAATAATAATATAGTGGGAGGAGAAGATTATAAAGAATAATAACAAAAAAAATGGTTAATATAATGAGAGAAAGTAAAGGTGAATATAAGTAGATAAATAAATATAATGACAAAGTATGTAAATATAAGGTAAGAGATAACATTATAAAAAAATTAATAAAAAATAAAATAGTACCAATAATGAAAAGAAAAAAAGAGTACTAAGAGAATAATATTAATGAGTTATGTCCTTTTTGTTTAATTGGTTTAACTTAAAACCTTGTAATGTAGGCATTTTGAAGTAAGGAGACATATTGGGGTAAAAAGAGATATATAATAATCATAGTTATGGATGTAAGGATAAAAGAAATTGATGAAAATATGATGAAGAGTGCTCTATCGCATTTATCTAAAATTTTTTTAATTGATATAGAAGTAAAATATTTATCATAATAAATTAATGTCTTTGAAATAATTTTTATATTTATTAATTAAAAATTAAGTTTAATTATATATTAATATTTTTATATTTAATAATTATTAAAAATTTGAATACAAACCAACCACACAAGCATGACTTTTTTTTTTGATCAGCCACACAAGCATGACTTTAGAGTCAGTTATGTTATACACAAAAACATTCTACCTCTATCAATTTCCTATACAATGTAATGATATATGAATTATGAACTATATAATTAAATAAAGTTAATTAATGTAATGGTACGGATGCAACTGATCACACCCAATCATTAATAATCAATTCACACATTTAATATCATCAAATTAAATAAAATATACCTGGATAAAACGGTTTCTTCAACTACGGTAGAGAAAAATGAACACAGATTTGGAAAAAAGTGTGACTAATATGGCCAAGGGCAATATTTTCTTCAATGATTTAAGAGATGATGGATGAAGTAGACAGATCTGCCAAAGGGAAGCACATAAGTATATACAAATTATTATAAAGAAATTTCAAAAAATGTCCAATAATGTTTATTAATTATGAAGAAATTAAATGCATAAATTAAACATCAGAAAAGAATATACCAAGAACAATAAGGGAGAAATGAACACAGGTTTAAAAGACAGATCTGCAAAAGAGTTCTTCAATGATTTAAGAGAGGATGTACGACAGTAATAGATCTGCAAAAGAGAAGTTAAAATTTCAACTTATATCCAATAGTGGAAAATAGAGAAAAAGGATACATTTAACATCACAAAAGAATATACCAATTGCAAGGAAAAGTGTAGAGAAGATAACAAAGATTTGTAACCAAAGCAAACATGCAACTAGTATGCTCAACGCCAACCATTTATCCAATAACTTTAGAGAGAATGGATGGAATAGGCTTCCGGTAGATCTGCAAAAGTGATAGGAGTATATATGGATTATTTCAACTATATCCAGAACTGGTAAGTAGAAAAACTATGGATTAAACATTAAAAAAGAATATACCATGGACAAATGCAACTAATATGGCCAACGACAACAGTTTCTTAAATGATCTGCAAAAAAGAATGAAATTAAGCATGGATTATTGTAAAAAGTATTTAATATTAGAAAAATGATGAACACAGATTTTTGATGAATTAATTTACCTGGGACAAATGGTAGAGAAGATGAATACACAGATTTGTAATACAACTAACCATGGCTTGTTGATTGCTATTCAAATTGTTCGAGATGGAGCAGTGGAATGAGGCCAAGAGGTTGGAGCGGCATCTATAGTCAAAGTCTCAATATTTTATGGCAATTGGCCATTTAAACAAATCTAATAATTAATGCTGCAACTTTTTAATATTTTAGTAGAATATTTTAAACCGGATGGGTTTTTAGTTTAATGGTTTCACCAGTTTTAACCGGGTCTAACTAAATTTGACCGGTCAAATTTGGCATTTTATTTCTATCGATTGTTATACATCTGATTAGACTGTTTTTATGACTAGTTACCGGTTCAACCACAGGCAAAGCAGCTGCTCTGGTCTAATTTTTAAACAATTTTTCTCTTTGTTTTCTTATCATCAGTTTTTAAAAACCTTAGATAGTTAGTGGTTCGTTGCATTTATTTCACGCAATTATATATGCCATGCTTCATTTTAAGCGTCATTATTTTTATTAATAAAATGTAAACCTCAAGCTTAGGTTCGGTTGAAACTCCAATAAAAGATGCATAAATAAGTTAAGATTGAAGATTTATAAATTTCTGGGCGAGGTTTATAATTTTAGATTGAATATTCGTAAATAAACATGTAAACTTGAGTTTAAATTTATTTTTTAATAAGTTCAACATTAAATTTAAGTTTAACTCGAGCATCCTACTTGCTAATGACTTTAAGTGGGATGTACAATTGAACAAGATTGCAAAAAGTACTTTTCAATCATTCAAAATTTGGGGATGAGGAAAATTATAAAACAAGAATGGAGACAGGTACTATTTGACAAACATCTTAGGAGTAGAAAAAGGGTTTGTTTCCCTCCTTTTTTTTTTTTTTTTTTTTTGAAAAATTGGGGATATAAAGGTTATGATGATAATAATAATAATAATGATAATAATATTACAGTTATAACTTAAATTCTCGATAAAAGGAACAAGGTTATTGGTGGTGCACTTCCACCGCGGCTTATGCCGTGCAAGTAGGAGAAGAGTTGAGGCTGCTAGGAAGCACGAGAGAAATTACGGTAGCCAGGTCAATGAGAAAGTCAAGAAGGATTGATGGATATTTCGTAATATTTGGTTAGCAAATGACAGTGAAATGAGAATGCAAAGTCATTAAAAATGTAGAACAATTGCTTAATATTATTATATCACAAAAGAAAGACTTGATGGATGGAAGGCTAAATGGTCGTCGAGGAAACAGGACAAGCCTGCTACACGTAAATTGACCTGGCTTGTAATTAGCCCCGAGAGCTCCTTTTCATAATAGCGGTCTGCATTCCAACTTTAACTTTTTGAAAAGCGGGGGATAGCAGAGAACCGCGTTTTGAAAAGCAGGAAAACACTTCCCCGGTTAGATCAATTATTGAACCAATGAAAACAAAAAGAAGACAAGCAATTAACATGTAAATGTGTGATGGAGAACTGTAAAGTTTGTGATATAGTATGTAGGCCCTCCTTGATTTGAGGGGATAACCTTTTGCAAAGCAAGAAATCAATGAGATGCATGGTATCCAATTAATGGAGACCGGGTGCCCACTTAATTTCGTACTTTTCCTATCAAACAATGACATGTAAGGTTTTTCTTTAATATGAAGTCCCTCCTTAGTATATGCAGATTCATTACCTCTGATGGCTCCTAAATAAGAAAGAAACATGTAGAAGAAGAAGAAGGAGTTAGAGAGACATAGAGAGGCAATAGAAAGAAGTATAATATGTTTATTTTTTTTACCACAATTTGTAAGAATATAATTAAGTTATATATATAGATTAAGTAAGTGATAGATGTCACAAGGATTAAATACTTGCTAAATGAAACTTTACAATAACTAATTATTCACTAATAAAGGAGTTACAAGATTAGTTTTTATCACCATTATAATTGCATTAAAAAATGCGTTAAACACCATTACTTATGTGAGAAAGTGGAGAGTTAATCATCTTTCCTTGATTCTTCAGTTTACTTCCTATCTCCTTTCACTTCTTTTTCGTTAATAAGCTCAAAATTCAAGTCTTCGCTTGTTTTAGAAGAGTGTATAACGTCACAAAATATAAATATAATAAAGACACAAAAAATGGTTATAATGTTATATATTAAGAAAAAAGAAAAATTATGTCAAAATGGTTAATAATAATTATATGATAAATTTAATAAAATTAAAATCACATTATACTTTAGATATTTAATAATTATAATTAAATATTTTAATATTTTAAATATTAAGATATTTTAAATTTTTTATATAATATTATAAATTTACAATAATTATAGTCCTTATTATATTATTGAAAACAAAGGAAAATTCACGAAAGGAATCTTTTTTGTGGCTTTTAATGCAAGGATTTCATTGGTTGAAACTAAAGTTTGTGAAAGATGCTTAAACAATCCAAAGTAATCGTAATGGAAAACATTATGGTAATATAAAATAAGAATTAGTGGAAGACTGGACAATTGTTAAAAAAAAAAAAAAAAGCTAAGAAAGTTACCATTCACCAACCACGCGATGGAAACTTTTTTATTCTTTTGTTGGAATTTGCTGGCACCATGGTTATAATAATAACTCATCTCAATCTGTGTTTACATATATTATAAATAAAGAGTAGAGACAGGGAGGGAGCCAATGAAGGACAAGGGGGGGCAGCTGTCCCCCCTAAACTTTTAAAAAATATTTAATATGGTACTTTAACTTTTATGTGTTAAAAATTTTGTTTTTATAGTATAATTTTAAGGATCATTTTAAATGTAGAAAGAATATTTATGACCTAAATAAAAAGTTTTCAAAAAATAAGAATATGATTTAAATAAAATGAATTTTATAAGAATTTAATTAATTAGGAATTTAAGGTTCTTAGACATTTCCTTATCTATTAAGTCCCAAAAAAGAAAACTTTGATTCTTTATTTAATCAACTTTAAATTTACACTTTTCTTTAGTATTTTTTTTCTTAATATTCTATATAATAATTTACACTTTTCTCTAGTATTTTTTTTATTTTCTCTCTTAATATTCTATATAATAATTTACACTTTTCTTTAGTATTTTTTTTATTTTCTCTCTTAATATTCTATTAAGCCCCAAAAAAAGAAAACTTTGATTCTTTATTTAATCAACTTTAAATTTACACTTTTCTTTGCAATAATATAGTTTTGTGACATTTTTCCTCTTAATTTTTTAGAAATTTTATTAACAAAAACACATTTCTCTTTTTTATTCATTCTTCAATTGATCATTATATGATTTATTGCTATATTTTATTTTTTATTACAATAAAAACATTCATTTCTAATTATTGTTAATAATATACCAATAAAAAAGATCATAAATAAATCTTTTTATAAAAAAAAATTTTTTTAAATGAATTAGTTTTATAAAAAAAATATTCTTAAAAATTCAAATCTTTAATACCAATTTTTGCCCCCCTAACTGATTTTTCTGGCTCCGTCCCTGAGTAGAGATGTATATGCATATAATTTTTATATATTATATTTATAT